TGGAGGCTGAGAACTACCAGATCAACTGAGTCCACTTCCTGGTTCGTAGACAGCATATTCTTGCTGTGTCTTGCTTCTCAAGTGGTGGAGGAGACAAACACCTTTTTAATGATTTGTACTGGAGTCACCCTGCTTATTTAACTTATATGCAGAGTACATCATGAAAAACGCTGGGCTGGAGGAAGCACAAGCTGGAGTCAAGATTGCCGGGAGAAATATCAATAACCTCAGATATGCAGATGACACCACCCTCATGGCAGAAAGTGACGAGGAACTAAAAAGCTTCTTGATGAAAATGAAAGAGCAGAGTGAAAAAGTTGGCTTAAAGCTCAATACTCAGAAAACTAAGATCATGGCATCTGGTCCCATCACTTCATGGGAAATAGATGGGGATACAGTGGAAACAGTGTCAGACTTTATTTTTGGGGGCTCCAAAATCATTGCAGATGGTGACTGCAGCCATGAAATTAAATGACGCTTACTCCTTGGAAGGAAAGTTATGACCAACCTAGAAAGCATATTAAAAAGCAGAGACATTACTTTGCCAACAAAGGTCCGTTTGATCAAGGCTATGGTTTTTTCAGTGGTCATGTATGGATGTGAGAGTTGGACTGTGAAGAAAGCTGAGTGCCAAAAAATTGATGCTTTTGAACTGTGTTGTTGTAGAAGACTCTTGAGAGTCCCTTGGACTGCAAGGAAATCCAACCAGTCCATCCTAAATGAGACCAGTCCTGGTTGTTCATTGGAAGGACTGATGCTGAAGCTGAAACTCCAATACTTTGGCCACCTCATGTGAAGAGTTGACTCACTGGGAAAGACCCTGATGCTTGGAGGGATTGGGGGCAGGAGGAGAAGGGGACGACAGAGGATGAGATGGCTGGATGACATCACCGACTCAATGGGCATGAGTTTGAGTAAACTCCGGGAGTTTGTGATGGACAGGGAGGCCTGGCATCATGGCGATTCATGGGGTCGCAAAGAGTTGGACACAACTGAGCGAATGAACTGAACTGATAGCTGATTTACAATGTTGCATTAGTTTCAGTGATTTAGTTATACATATACATATTATTCTTTTTGAGATCTTTTCCCATATAGATTACAACATTGTACTGAGTAGACTTCCCTGTGCTATATATAGATAAGGACCCTTTTTATAAGCTCACTAACCCCATTCATGAGAGCTCAGACCTCATGGTTTAATCTCCTCCAAAAGAATTCACCATCTAAAACCATCACTGTGGGTATTCGGCTTTCAACAGAGGACAGAGGACACAGACATTCAATCTGCAGCATGATCACAATAGACATTAGAGTACCCTTTTGGCACAGGAATGAAGTGAGGCAGCGGAGAGCCTTGTCTCCTGGTCAGTGCCCTTGTGGGTTCACCTCAGTGGATCTCTACTTCCTCTTTTCATTTCCCCTCCCTCTAGGAGGCCTTCCCTAACTAACCTCAAACCAACATTTCATTTAGCATTCTGAGGAATCTGTTGCATAGCAATGTACAGTACTTACAAACAGTGATTCTCTAACTTAAACTGAACATCAGAAATACCTGTGTGTGTGTGGCAAGACTTTCAGTCACTCATGACTGTTTCTGACCCCATGGACTGTAGCCCACCAGGATCTTCTGTCCAGTGAATTTTCTAGGCAACAATACTGGAGCAGGTTGCTATTTCCTACTCCAAGGGATCTTCCTGACTCAGGGATCAAATCCACTTCTCTTGTACTTCCTGCATTGGCAGGCACATTCTTTACCACTGACCACCTGTGAAGCCCCCAGAATCACCTGAGGGCTTGTAAAACACAGATGATTGGGCCCCACTCCTATGATTTCTCATTTAATAGGGTTCATTGGCAGGGGGTGCCCAACATAATTTGCAACTTTCCAGGTGATGTGACTTACAGGCTAGGAAACCAGTTTGTAAACCATGGATTTAGAAACTAGCTACATTTCCACACACATCCTAGGTTTTATCTGCAAGTCCAACACAGAAGATGCCAAATCTTCATTTTCTCAAGCAAAGTCTTCAAAAGTTAGTCATTTTTTCCTGGATGTTCAAGGGCCTTGAGTGCCAAGCGACTACTTCCCTGGTAGCTAACAGATGATTTAATCTTGACCTTCAAATTTCTTCACATCAGGAAGGGCTGCTGTTCCTCTGCGTTTCTGGCTTCTTATATCTCGGCTAAGAATACAGCAGGCAGCTGGGCCATCCGCGAGCGCTCATGCCTGCCCAAATGGATTCAGCCTAGCTCATGTATAGTCTCATTTAATGGCTGTAAGTGGGAGAATCTATCTCTGTCCACTCTGAAAAAAATAACTTGCCACATGAGAGAAATATCACTACAAAAAAGTAGCCTTTTCGACATTATATACCCACAATATCATGTCTCCAATTTTAATCAAGTTACATGAAGTAAAAAATTTGAGACACCTCTGTTTCCTACAACCTAACGTTCTTTTAAAATGTCTCTCTTTGTAAATTCAGGTTCAAAATAGAAACTAGGTTCTGAAAGTGAATGTGAAAGCACTACTTGCTTAGTAATGAACAACTCTATGCGATTCCATGGATCGTCTCCTTTGTCCATGGGGTTCTCCAGGCAAGAATACTGGAGTCAGGTGCCATCCTCTTCTCCAGGTGATCTTCCTGACCCAGGGATCAAACCCAGGTCTCTTGCATTGTAGGATGACTCCTTACCATCTGAACTACCAGAGAAGGTTCTGAAATTCTCAGTGTATCATTCAGAACAAACTTTTGATATCACAGACACAAACTGGGAGGCCTAGGGTCATCCAGCAGAGGTGTATTTGGACTATCCCACATCCCAAAAAAAACACTGAACACTCAACAGTCAAAAAACTAAGATCATGACATCCAGTCCCATTACTTCATCACAAATAGATCAGGAAACAATGGAAACAGTGACAGACTTTATTTTCTTGGGCTCCAAAATTGTGATGGTTTCGCACTGAATAATACTCACAAACACACAGTATTATGACAGACAGCACAGGGAGAGCGTTCAGACAAGCAACTCCCCAAGAACATGCTCAGCATATATTTTATTGGTAACTTATCTTGTAATCTTTAACTATGAGCAGGAAAGCAAGACAGAGACTAGAATTCAGGGATCAAGGAGGCTTCCTCCAGGAGGTCTGGAGGTAACCATATAAGAGTCGTAGGAAAGGTCTTTAAAGATAAGCGGGTTTGTTCTGTGTACAGAACAAAATCTAGCTAATGCTGACATGTCAGTCAGAGCATGTAAATTAAGGGTGGGGGAGAGCAAGCAAGGAAGAGAGAATGAGTATTAAATTCCAGGAGGTATTTCTGAGAAATCAGTAAAATATGGTTCCCACACAAAATCACTGCAGATGGTGACTGCAGCCAGGAAATCAAGATGCTAGCTCTTTGGAAGGAAAGCTATGACAAACCTAGAGAGCATATTAAAAAGTAAAGGCATTACTTGGCCAGCAGAGGTTCCTCTAGTCAAACCTATGGTTTTTCCAGTAGTCAGGTATGGATGAGAGAGTTGGACCATAAAGAAGGGTAAGTGCTGAAGAATTGATGTTTTTGAATGGTGGTGTTGAAAAAGACTCTTGAGAGTCCCATGGACTGCAAAGACATCAAACCAATCAATCCTAAAGGAAATCAACCCAAAATATTCATTGGAAGAACTGATGTTGAAGCTGAGGCTCCAGTATTTGGCTGACTCATTAGAAAAAACCCTGATGGGAGGAAAGATCGAAGGCAGGAGAAGGGGACGACAGAGCAGGAGATGGTTGGATGGCATCACTGACTCAATGGACATGAGTTTCAGTAAGCTCCAGAAGATGGAGAAGGATAGAGAAGACTGGTATGCTGAGCAACTGAACTGAACTGATGGGGTCACAAAGAGTCAGACGTGACTGAGCAACTGAACAACACCTCAAATATTGTAAAGGTTTCTCTCTCTGCTTCTTCAAGGTAGCTCTCTTTCACCTTCAAATTCTGAGGGCTAAAGCCCTGAGATCCTGAAGTCCAGACAGATAGATGTGGGGAGGAGAGTCATGAGATATCTTGATAGTGGCTGTGAGAGAAAGCAGAGACCATTAAGGAAAAGGGAAGAGGAGAAGATGTGGGCAGCGGGGTTGAGGTTGGGAGGAGATGGAAAGGAGAGACTTACCGGTGCTTCCTAAACCAGAAGACTAAGCCTCCAACAAACAGAAGGACGAACAGTATTACCAGGACGACAATCAAGCCCGTGGAGAAACGGTTCCCATCTGTGTGGGGGAACACAGGGTGGTGTGTCTCAGTCCGGGAATCTGTATCAGGTCCCCTGCTGTTAGCACCTGTGAGCATGCCAGATGCTAATTTCTTGTCCTGTCTAATGTGCCTACTTGTATTCCTCTGAAGATTAGAGATGCCTCATCTTTTCTTGGAGTCTGGGCATCTATAATTCCGTTCACTTCAGCATATGCTGGTACACATACGGAGACAGGCACTAGTTTCACAGCTAGTCCAAACCTGAGTCTAAATCCAGCTCTTCCGCATTCTAATGATGAGACTCAGGGCAGTTTGACCTAGCTTAGCCTCAATTTCTCATCTGTAACATGAAAACAACAGTACCTGCTCAAAGGAGAGTGGGGATGATTGTTCATACATACTCTGCTGTATGCAGAGTGTTCAGCTCACACAGAGAAAGCACTCAATAAACCACAACTGTCATTGGTACCATACCTTTCAAAGTCCCCAGTTCCCTCTTCTAGGGAACAAACCTTCCTGGGATTCTGTACTTGCCACCTACTTTGGGATCTGTGGGGATTTTAGTCTCTTCTTTCTTGTATGTGGAACACCTTGTCTCAATCCCTTTCGAGTTCAGATCTATATTCCTCCCCTTGGAGAATTCCCTCCTTCTATCACTCCTGGCTGGGCATCATTTTCCTACCCTTCCCCAGGCCCTCCCTCTGGGCTTGAGGACCACCTCCTCCCACCCCCAGCTGGGCTCCACTTCCTCCTCACCCCAGTACAGGATGATGTCCTGGTCTCCCAGGCTGCTGTGCTTCACTCGGCAGCTCAGGCCAGCCGCCTCCGCAGCCTCCACATCCAGGGTTACTCGCAGATACCAAGTCGAGTCGGCGTTGGGCATGACGTCTCCTTGCTGAGTGCCAGGCTCTTCCTGCTCGCCCCTCGCCCACGTCACCCGCACGGGTTTTGGGTAGAATCCTGAGACATGGCAGACCAGCCACAGGTGGCCAGGCCGGGGAGGGGGACCACTGGACAGCCAGGCCTCCGGCTTCACTGTATTCAACACGAGAATGAAGGATCTTAAAGTGAGACTCTGCATCAGAGGCTCTGGACTTCACAGCAGGCTCATCAGTCCTACATTTCTACCTCTGGAGATGAACTCCCACCATTTCTTTCCACTTGTATTAGCTTCTCCGGGAAAGACTTCCCGGATCCCCATTCCCTGCCCTGATCCATTCTCCTGTAAATGCCCCTACTCTGCACTCGCAGAGCACCCTGTGTTCAGCTGTAACATACGTAGTAAGTTTCTAAGTGGTAGTTACTCAGTCATGCCCGACTCTGCAACCCCATGGACTGTAGCCCACCAGGCTCCTCTCTCTACAGGATTCTTCAAGCAAGAGTACTGGAGGGGGTTGCCATTTACTTCTCCAGGTCATCTTCACAACCCAGGGATCAAACCTAATGCAGGTCTCCTGCACTGCGGGCAAACTCTTTACCATCTGAGCCACCAGGACACTGCTTTAACTGTTCATCTGCCTTCTCCTCTCCCTCCTCAAGTATACATCCTGATTGATCTGCAGGATTTATTTAATTCTATTCATGGACCCCAAAAGGTACCTAGTTAATGTCTATGGAATGTTTAAATACCCTCACACCTTATCCATCTCCTGCTCTTCCTGTGATGCTTAAAGGGGTGTAAACCCTGGAATGAAAACCCCAGATGGAGCCCCAGAGTGGAGTGGAGGGCAAGAGGTGACAAAAGCAGGCCGACCTTGCTTCTTCAGCTCGGACTTCCCCGTCTGCAAGAGGCCTCTGACCAATTGGGGCCAGATGTCATGGAGGAGCCAGTGCACTGTTTCCTTGGTCCCTTGGTCCTGATTGAGCTTCTTGCAGAGCTCCTGGCTCCAAGGGGGGGCATCTGGGGCTGGCACCCAAGACATTCCTTGGAAACTCAGGACATCCTTTCCTTGAAATGCTGCACGTAAGAAGCTTTCGGAGGTGTTCCTCGGAAGTAACTCACATCCTCCAGATATCTGGATCTCAAGAGGATCTGAGGAGAGGAATGGAAAGAGATCAATGAAGAGCTTAAAAGACTGAAAGGAGTTGAAGAAATTGGTGTGAGGGTTATCCTGGGGACCCCAAAGTTCATGTAAATGGGAATGGGTGACCTGCAGCGGGATGAACAAGGGGTATTTTGACGACTCAAGCTGGAACCTCTCAGGCAGAAGTGGGACTCAAAAGGGAGAGAGGAGACAATCACAAGGGGCCAGAACCTCCCAGTTGGGCTTCAGCATCCCCTGTCTCCCCCTGGGCAGCTGTCCACGATCCCATCCCTCAGCTCACAGTCGAGGTGCAGTATTTTGACGAATTCCCAGATGTCCCTGGTGAAGCTCCTGCGATAAACCTGAAACGTATGCTGCAGCTGCTCCCACTGCTGCTCACTGAATGTGCCCTGAGACCAAGGCTTCAGGAAGCCGACGGTGTCCGACTCATTGCGCCAAGTATAGAGCTGCAGCTCCCCCAGCCACGCGAGGAAGTCCGTGCGCGTCCAGCTGCGGTTGGCGAAGGAGGAGATCTGGAGGCCGCGGAAGGAGTAAGACGTTTGCGGCTCTGGAGAGAATACAGATCGGAGGAACCGGGGGCACGGGAGGGAGAGCACAGAAGGGAGAAGGAAGAGCAATGGAAACAAACAAACGGCTAGGTTTGGGAAGAAAGGGTGATGTCTGCTGGCTCTGAAAAGAGCTCGGTCTCCAGGTGCCAAGCAGCTGGAGGCAGGGAGTAGCAGGTTCTCGGGCTGGTGGATCAAGCTCCCGGCTTTCCGAGGTGTATCAGTATGCGCCCTCCCGCCAGGAGCATCGGCCGCTTTCCCCGCTCGTCTCCCTCTCGCCGCCCTCTGCCTGAGAGCCCCGGTTCCACTCATCCTCAAAACTCCCCCAAATCTGGGGAAGACCCCAGAAGAACAGAAACAGCAAGCACCCCGCGTCCTAGCTCTGCTCTGGGACCTCGAATCTCCGCCCCCACCCCCTCCCAGTCCTTCCCCAACGCCCGCCCACACACCCCGGGTTTCCGGGACTGCCAAAAGCCTGAACTTGACCCTGTTGCTGGCCAATTCTTAAGCCTGGAGGCAGGCAGGACTCCCGTTCTGACTCTCCGGGGGCTTGCTTCCAACCTCCTCCTGTCCAGGGATCCCTTTTTCATCTGCCAGATGGTCCCTCTCGTTAAGTATCTGGGCTGCAAAGAGCCCTGGTCACAGCCACTCACTTAAGTATGTTTCTCACAACCAGCTTCTCGAAATCTCTTTTTCCAAGGTAGAGTTACAGATAGTATGTGGAAAACACTTTACAACTGCTATTTAAGTTTTAAAAACAGGACATAAAGTTGTATATATGGTATGACGTCTACCATGTGTTTAAAACAAAGTTTTTGAGTGGGAGGCAAGCAATGGATGTCTTTAGGCAAAGAGATTATGGAAGATTTTAATTTGTTTTACATTTTTGGTTTTCCAAAATGTCTAGGAGTGCAGACATCACGTTAATGATAAAATAATAAGGGACTTCTCTGGTGGTCCAGTGGTTAAGAATCCACCTTGCAATGCAGGGGTGTTGGTTGGGTACCCGGTCAGGGTCATCTCAGGGATCTAAGCCTGCAACATCTCCCAAAAGGTCTGGGATTCCCAGCCAGAGGTTGAGGTTGGGTTGCAGCGGTGAGAACACCAGAGCCTAGCCAGTAAACCAGGGGTCAGGGACAGGGGCCCTGGCCTTCAGCTTTGCAGGAAAGAATTCCCACAAAGAAAGAAAGTAGTGGAGCAAGTAAGGTATTTATTAGAGGAAAACAGGACAGTACAAGAGAGGGAGGATGACTCAAGGAGAGGGTCTCTGAGTTGCACCCTCCTGGCAGTTTGAATTACTCTGATAGTAAAGGGTATTTCTTCCAGTTTTCCTTCGGCCGATCAATTTAATTTGCCTCTTTCACAGTTCATATTTGGTATATTTCAAGATCCTCCCATGTGTGTGCATGCATCTCTTAGCCAAGATGGATTTTACTGAAAAGGCAGCTGGGTAGAACATCCCTTGACATAACTCTCCTTTGGCCTCCAATGAGCCTTCTCTGCACATGTGTGGTCTGGGAGGTCTCCTGACCTTGAGAAATATATGCTCTGGGCAGGGCCCAGCATCCTCTATAATTGTCCTGCTCTTGGGGTAGTTTAGTAAATAGTCTTAGTTAGGCTGTATATTGCCACCCAGCTTGTTGAACTTATATGCAAAGTACCTCATGCAAAGTTTTGGACTGGATGAAGCATACGCTAGAATCAAGATTGCCAAGAGAAATATCAATAACCTCAGATATGCAGATGACACCACACTTCTGATAGAAAGTGAAGAAGAACTGAAGAACCTCTTGATGCAAGTGAAAGAGGAGAGTGAAACGTTGGCTTCAACATTCAGAAAACTAAGATTATGGCATCTGGTCCCATCACTTCAGGGCAAATAAATGGATAAACAATGGAAACAGTGACAGACTTTATTTTGGGGAGCTCCAAAATCATTGCAGATGGTGACTGCAGTTATGAAATTAATTTTTCCTTGGAAGAAAAGCTATGATCAACCTAGACAGCATATTAAAAAGTAGAGACATTACTTTGCCAACAGGGCCATCTAGTCAAAACTATGGTTTTTCCAGTAGTCATGTTTGGATGTGAGAGTTGGACTATAACAAAAGCTGACAGCCGAAGAATTGATGCTTTTGCAATCTGGGGTTGGAGAAGACTCTTGAGAATCCCTTGGACTGTAAGGAGAACCAACCAATCCATCCTAAAGGAAATCAGTTCTGAATATTTATTGCAAGGATTGATGTTGAAGGTGAAACTCCAATCCTTTGGCCACCTGATGCAAAGAACTGACTCATGTGAAAAGACCCTGAGGCTGGGAAAGATTGAAGGTGGGAGGAGAAGGTGGTGACAGAGCATGAGATGGTTGGATGGCATCACTGACTCAATGGACATGGGTTTGGGTGGATGCCAGCAGTTGGTGGTGGACATGGAGGCCTGGCATGCTGCGGTTCATGGGGTTGCAAAGAGTCGGACACGACTGAGCAACTGACCTGAACTGAACTGAAATTTGGTGACCTAAATGGGAAAGAAATCCAAAAAAGAGGAGATATGTGTGTTTTCTATAGCTGGTTCACTTCACTGTACATTAAAGACTAACAAAGCATTGTAAAACAACTATACTATAATAAATTTTTTAAAATAAACTTTAAATACTAAATGATAAAAAATAAAGATAATAAGTTTATGTTTCTTCAAAAAGAAAAAAATAAACTTTGGGACTTCCATGGCAGTCCAGTGGTTAAGACTCAGTGCTTCAAATTCAAGGGGCTCAGGGTTGATTCTCTGGACCAGATTTCATGGACTAGAATTCCAAATGCCATACACTGAGGCCAAAAAATAACTAAATGTTATGACAACAAACAACAGGAAGGGAGAAATGAAAATATCTTGTGCATAGTCCTTACAATATATATGAAGGGCATGCATGCATGCTCAGCCATGTCCAACTCTGCCACCCTATGCATTATAGCCCACCAGACTCTTCTTCTCATGGGACTTCCCAGGCAAGAATACTGGAGTAGGTTGCCATTTCTTACTCCAGGGGATCTTCTCAACCCAGGGATGGAACCCATATCTCCCACATCTCCTGCATTGGCAAGCAGATTCTTTACCACCGAGCCACCTGGGAAGTATGGGAAGTAACATAATAATATTTAAAGGTAGCCAGCAATACATTGAAAACAATTGAAAATCCTAGGGAAATACCTTTAGAAAGTTTTAAAAAGAGGCATGCCTGTAAGGCACAAGTGGATAAAAAATAGAATCCTAAAAAGGAAAGTCTACAGATTCAACAAGTGAAAGGCAAAGGAGAAAGGGAAAGTTATACTCAACTAAATGCAGAGTTTCAAGGATAGCAAGGAGAGGTAAGAAAGTCTTCTTGAGTGAACAATGCAAAGAAATATAGGAGAACAATAGAAGGGGTAAAACTAACAATTTCTTCAAGAAACTTAGAGATATCAAAGGAACATTTCATGCAAGGATGGGCATGATACAGCAAAGAAATGGTAAGGACCTAACAGAAGCAGAAGGGAGTCAGAAGAGGTGGCAAGAACACACAGAAGAACTACACAAAAACCAGATAATGGTGATGGTGTGGTCACTCAACTAGAGTCAGACATCCTGGAGTGTGAAGTCAAGTGGGCCATTACTATGAACAAAGCCAGTGGAGGTGATGGGATTCTAGCTGAGCTATTTCAAATCCTAAAAGATGAAGTTGTTAAAGTGTTGCACTCAATATGTCAGCAAATTTGGAAAACTCAGTAGTGCTCACAGGACTGGAAAAGGTCAGTTTTCATCCCAATCCCAAAGAAGGGCAATGCCAAAAAATGTTCAAACTACTGTACAACTGCTTTCATTTTACCTGCTACTTAGGTCATGCTCAAAACCCTTCAAGCTAGGTTTCAACAGCACAAAAACTGAGAACTTCCAGAGGTTTAAGCTAGATTTAGAAAAGTCAGAGGAACCAGAGATCACATTGCCAACATTCATTGAATCATAGAGAGACCAAGGGAATTCCAAAAAAACACCTACTTCGCTATGATAAAGCCTTTGACTGTGTGGATCACTGTAAACTGTGGAAAATTCTGAAAGAGATAATAATACCAGACCACTTAACCTGTCTCCTGAGAAACATGTATGAGGGTCAAGAAGCAACAGTTAGAACTGGACATGAAACAATGGACTGGTTCCAAATTGGAAAAGGACTACATCAAGGCTGTACATTGTCACCCTACTCACTTAACATCTATGCAAAGCACATGGGAAATGCTGAGCTGGATGAATCACAAGATGGAATCAAGACTGCTGAGAGAAATATCAACAACCTCAGACATGCAGAAGATAGCACTCTAATGGCGGAAAACATAAAGACACTAAAGAGACTGTTGATGAGAGTGAAAGACGAGAGTTAAAAAGCTGGTTTAAAACTCAAGATTCAAAAAACGAAGATCATGGCATACAGTCCCATCACTTAACGGCAAATAGAAAGGGGAAAAAGTGGAAACTGTGACAGATTTTATTTTCTTGGGCTCCAAAATCACTGTGGATGGTGACTGTAGCCACAAAATTAAAAGACACTTGCTCCTTGGAAGAAAAGCTGTGACAAGCCTAAACAGCATGTTAAAAAGCAGAGACATAACATTGCCAACAATGGTCTGCCTAGTGAAAGCGATGGTTTTTCCAGAAATCAAGTATGGATAGAGTGTTGAACCATAAAGAAGGCTGAGTGCCAAAGAATTGATACTTTGGAATTGTGGTGCTGGAGAAGACTGTTGAGAGTCCTTTGGAATACAAGTAGATCAAACCAATCAATCCTGAATTATCCTGAAGGAAATTAATCCTGAACTAAACTGAATTGGAAGATCTGATGCTGAAACTAAAGCCCCAATACTCTGGCCACGTGATGTGAAGAGCTGACTTATTGGGGAAGACCTTGATGCTGGGAAAGATTGAGGGTAGGAGGAGAAAGAGGCAACAGAGGATGAGACAGTGGGATAGCATCAGCTGATTCAATGGACATGAGTTTGACCAAACTCTGGGAGACAGTGAAAGCCAGGGAAGACTGGGATGCCACAGTCCATGGGGTCTCAAAGAGATAGACATGGCATAGTGAATGAATAACAACCACAGATGGGACAAATAGAAAACAAATGGCAAGAAACTAGACATAACCCATGTCAAAAATTTAATCATTACCTTTAAATAGTCAAAACACTCTAGTCAACAAGCAGAAATTGTCATAATGAATTAAAATGCAAAACCCAACTATTTGCTAGACACAGAAAACATACTTTAAGAATAAAGACACATAT